CCCTCCTGCAGCTTCATTTCCACCGGTTGCAGCACCGGTGAGCTTTTCGTTGCGGTGCAGGTACGGAGGATGCCTCAGAGGTGTGGAGTCGTGGCGTCTTGTTGTTTCGAGGCAGCGAGGCACGCAGTCTCTCGTGGACCTTATCATTGCAGATTGCGTGCCTTACGTATCCGCCCCTTCCTCTGCCGCTCCCTCAGCCACGGCACCGGTGTGCTTTTCGTTGCAGTGCGCCGCGCGACTAATAGAAACCACAGCCTTCGTCCCAGTTTCGGGCTGGATTCGCCCACCTGTCGCTTCTGCCCATCCAATCCCTCCTGCAGATTCTTCATTTCCACCGGCCGCAGCACCGGTGTGCTTTTCGTTGCCTTGCAGATATGAAAGCAGTTGGTGGCAAGGACGCTTCAGAGCAGCGCAGTCGAGGCATCTATTTGTCTCTGAGCAGGAAATCAAGCAGTCCTTGCTGGACCATGCCATTGTGGATGCCATGCCTGACCGTTGTGCTGTGAGGTCTAGCCCTACCGCAACAGGGTCCACTGCAAAGCTCGTCCTCGTCCCCGACGCGGGATGTGTGGCTGCGCTGCTGACCAAAAGCAGAGCCCTCGTTCCAATTTTTGGCTGGATTCGCCCAATTTGCCCGTCTGTCGCTTCTGCTCATCCAATCCCTCCTGCAGCTTCATTTCCACCGGCCGCAGCACCGGTGAGCTTTTCGTTGCGGTGCAGGTACGGAGGATGCCTCAGAGGTGTGGAGTCGTGGCGTCTTGTTGTTTCGAGGCAGCGAGGCACGCAGTCTCTCGTGGACCTTGCTATTGCAGATTGCGTGCCTTACAGTTCTGCTGTGAGGTCTAGTTCCGCCGCATCACGGTGCGATGCAAAGCTCGTCTGCCGTGCGAGCTATGTGGCTGTGCGGCTGACCAGCAGCAGAGCCATCGTACAAGTTTCGTGCTGGATTGGCCGCGGCCCACACGCACGTCATCACCAGCTCAAACAAAAGGGCATTGAAGTTCTCACTGGTGCGCATTGCGGCAAGCTGCTTGTGCTTGTACCTTCGCGTTGTGCCCACGAGTTGAGTTCGAAGCAAGCGAATCATTCCGTTCGCCGCATGAGATTTCAAGAGCTGGTGCATGGTGCTGGGACTGCGGCGTGGCATTCCCTGCTCTCGGTCCAGGCCGCCCGAAAGAATGGTGCCGTACTTCGCAGCTCCAGATGTGCATCCCGGATGTGGCCTCCACAAGTCGTGGCGGAGCCTTCGCCGAAGAAGATGGGCATGCCTCCGCCACCCTCGCCCACGCCCAGTGCAGCTTACATGTTGCGAGTGCAAGGAGGTGCGCGGGCTGCAGGGAGTGATTTCCGGCCGGACGTAGGATTAGAAGCAGCAATTGCAGCCAACTGTGCGGAGGTTTCTCCTGTAGAGGAGACGCTGAGGCAAGCTCAGGTGCCCTTCATTTTGATGATCCGAAGCTTCTTTCCATTGCTGGCATCGCAAGTATTGTTGCAGGGCCGACAGGTACTTCTAAACCTCGTCCTCGTCGGACATAGCCACGGAGGTGTGATTGCTCATAGCATGGCGCAGTGCCTTGAGTCTGCCGGCTTTCTCGTGAAGGGCATAGTGGCTGCGGACACGCTCGGGCTGCCTCGCAAGGCGGAGATGCCTTTGCCTCGCTTCGACCCGCAGGCGCTCGCACGGCACCGGTCTCCGTACCACTGGCATCTGTCGTCACCGAAGGTTAACATGATGGCCCCCGACGTGCCTTGGCGGATCGGGCTCATGTGAGCAGGGAGGCTGGGTGTGTTCCAAGGACGCAGTAAAGGGCGATGTCAGCGATAAGAGTTCGCCGTGATGCCTCTTCGTACGAAACCATTGCATCAGCGGTTCGGCGAGGTGTCCCAGCATCATCCGCGATAGGTGTGGAGCACACAGCAAAATGTGAAATAACAAGCCGAAGGCCTTTCATTTTTGAGTCAACATGTTTCGGTTTGCAAGCCAAGACAGCTACTCGTAAGAGTCGCAACTTATCCTGCTCAAGCCCACTCCGGATTTCAAACGATCGAGGCTGTAGTACGTCGTGGAAGTTCAGCTGTTGGGGTGAGGATGTTTGTTATCTGCACGCAGTCAGCGGTGCAAGCTCCTATTCCCTATATTGCTTCGGAGGCTACCGGATGAGACATGGGCTTCTGGAATAAAGGGGTTGCCTTTGGGGAGGCTCACTTTTACGAATACGTTCATCTCGGCCTATATAGGGGAACACCTTCATATTACGTGTTCAAGACACAGCTCGTCAGCCGACTTCACAAAGTAAGCTGCTGCCAGTATCAGGCCCGGAGATACTGGAGCCTTGTGCGCCCGTGATGTCGGGTTCTAGGAAATCTGAACATACTATTGTATCTTTAGCCGCCTTGAGCGCTCGTGTTCGAGGATATGTCCTAAGGGTTGAGGGGCGGATGTCGAGGTAACAGTCTCAACTGGCAGGTACTGCTAACTACTGTCAGGAATAGAGCTGAGGTGCCTCCCCTTCGAAGGATACTTCCAAGCAGAGCTGAGTTGCTGGTTGGCGGAGCTGTCTTCCCACCCAAGCACTTGCAGGACGCCAGTCGGGTTTCGTACTGTTTTACCGGCTTGTGCAGTTTCCTTCCTTGACGTTGTTGTCGGTTTGTCTGGGCCTAGCGTAGGCTATATAGGTCCAGCATAGGTTTGTCTCTCTTGTGCAAAGCTTCTTTCGGCTTGTTCGGTGCTTTGTCAATTGGTTTCCATTGTTCAGGGGTTTTACGACTTTCGCCTGGGGTAGGGACGGTATCCTTGACTGGATCCAAGCAGGCTGCTGCAACCATAATCAGCACCGAGCAGCTCCTCTGATATTTTCCGTTTGTGAAAGAATTGCTATGCAATCTGAGATTACGATTTGGCAACTGTTTCTATCTTGTGGTTATTGTCACTGGCAGTCTTGCGACTAGTGTTACTATAACCACAGTGAGCTGCTCGTGTCGCTAGTTCCATTACTACGACGGCTACTGCCACACCGCTACGACTACTATTGCTGCTACTACGACTTTTGAGTACACTGCTCGACGGAAGTTGTTAACACATCTCATGTCTATTTTGCTAATTTAGTTGCTCTATGAACAGTGCATCTTGTAACTATTTCTAGGTGTACTATCATTGTCGTCCTCGTTGTTGCTCTTACCCTCAAGAACATCAAGGTAGCAGTAGCAGTATCGGTAGTTGCAGCAGCAGCAGCAGCAGCAGCAGCAGCAGCAGCAGCAGCAGCAGCAGCAGCAGCAGCAGCAGCAGCAGCAATAGTAAGTAGTCGTCGTCGTAGTGGTGGTGGTGGTCGTGGTGGTGGTGGTGGTTGTGAGCGTAGTGGCAGAACTCGTCGTCATGGTCAGCAGTCGTGGTAGTAGTAGCAGCAGCAGCAGCAGGAGGAGCAGTAGTAGCAGTAGTAGTCGTCGTCATCGTAGTTGCAGTAGTATAGTAGTAGTAGTAGTAGTAGTAGTAGTAGTAGTAGTAGTAGTGGTAGTAGTAGTAGTAGTAGTAGTAGTAGTAGTAGTAGTAGTAGGCAGCAGCAGTCCTAGCAGTGGTAGTGGCAG